CCGTGTCCAAATTCACAATCTAGGGACATTCCATATTTAGTAAGTTTCAAGCTTGTCCCATAGACTAATTCCTAATACTAAGGGAGGCTTGGGGTGAAAGCCCAAAGCGTGTGTTCCTGAAGGGGGGGGGGGCTGTGGGGGGTTCTAAATGTATAGTAGGGATAGTGGGTAGATCGGGCATGGTTGACCAACCTGAGGCATAGTCTAGCTCCCACTTGTGTGCCTGTCCTTGTTCTGCGTCCGGCTTGGGTCTAAGCCCAAGTTCCATTCCATGCTAGTTGGTGGAGTACCCATATCCTCGCGTTAGGCCACCGGTATGCCGAAATAGCGCCAGACTCCGTTTGGCTCCGTTTGGCGTGCTGGTCCTGGCATTGGGATGCTGGTTGCTCCAGGATTGTTCCAAGTCGCTCCGGGCCCCTGTCCCTTCGCTCTTTGGGCTGTATGCTCGGGAGTTGCTCCGTGGTCCGGCTCCATCACTCCTTGGCTCCACGCTTGGGAGTTTGGCACCGTTCCTTCGTTCAGTGGCCCAAGGCCCTGAACCTCGAGTTCCTATGGACACGTGGCATGGACACGTGGCATCTGTCACGTGGCACAAAGAGGGTTTAGGTTCCGCTTCGTGGTGTTATCCTATGGTAAATCACCATAGGATAAAGGGTCAAAACCACGTGCGCTACACAGGAGGTCGGTATTGCTGGTTCCTTTTATGGTCTCCACTCAAGCTAGTTGAGAAACTGGTCATCGCATGTGCACTTGACCAGATGAGCATAAGGACGGAATTCCTACATGCTATTTGTCAAGCATACTTGACCTGGTTAGAGAAACTCATTCGTTGACTTGCATTTGCTAGTGTTGGGAACCCCCGCGATATTGAGACTAGTCCCTCAATATTCGCTAGATGATAGCTTACCGTGTCTGCCAAACACCCTTGCTATCATACCCTTTGTGTTGGTCTCATTTCGGTCCCAAATGCTATTTATGGAAAGTGTCTAGATTAGCTCATTTGGCATATCTACGAAATGTAGAGATCGGCCTGAACACAATGGTGTTCGTCCCGTGTCCAAATTCGTAATCTAAGGACATTCCATATTTAGTAAGTTTCGGACTTGTCCCAGAGACTAACTCCTGGTACTAAGGGAGGCTTGGGGTGAAAGCCCAAAGCGTGTGTCCCTCAAGGGGGGGGGGGGGGGGGGGCTGTGGGGGGTTCCAAATGTATAGTAGGGATAGTGGTTGGAATGCATGTCCGACCACCTGAGACATTAGTTTGGCTCCCGCTGGGCTGTGTCACTCCTTGTTTTGCGTCCGGCTTGAGTCTAAGCCCAAGCTCCACGCTGCTCTAGTCGGTAAAGTACCCTCCTCCTTGCGTTAGGCCACCGGTATGCCAAAATTGTGCCAGACTTCGTCTGACACCATTTTGCGTGCAGGTGCTGGACACGGGGAGCTGATGCTCGTGGGATTGCACCGGACCCTCGTTTCGTAGCGCAACAGGCTTGGAGTTCGGCTCCAAATTCAGGTGCGCTACAATATACTCCTCATTAAATATAAAGAGATAGCAAATGCATGATATTAATAGGCTTGGATCAAGAAAGAGCTATAGGGAGCCATGAGAGGAATCAATGATATTTTGCTTAGAGGCAGGAAAATTATATGTACCTTAAGTGAAGTTAAAATCATCACTTTGTGGGCTTTAGCTGCATCCATGGCAAAAAAAATTTAAAAAAATACATTACTAAATGGTAAAGTTTCAGAAATTTACACTTGTCATTAAAAAGTTTCAAAGTTGTAACACAAAATTAATTTAATCAACATATATCAAATGGCTATCTTTAGCTTGCCCTGTAATACAATTAGAAAGTTTTTAACATTGTTCCTTTACCTTACCTCCAGAAAGTTTTTTAAGTGTTATAAGAAGTGTTTGAATCAAATTTTAGGAGAGTCTTACACCTACAGGAACCTTGTTAACAAAAAATTGAAAGCACTCACTATTCACATTTTATATACCACATGCAACACCTAGTACTGTTCCAAAGTAGGAGTTTGTTTTACTTCCACAATTTACACAAGGACCCCGTGATGGAAAATGCTTTCTCTATAATGGCTGAAAATCATAAGTTACAGGGCTTCAATATAAGAGCGTCTTTGAAATCAAATCCATGGTAAATCTTGTAGTAAAAATGTAGCCAAACTAGGTAAAATTGAAGCCATATGGTTCTGGCAACTATACATAATGGATGAGGGAAAAGAAGAGAATTAACAATATTTTCATTCTCAAATCCGTCAGAAGAAAGTCACAGTTGGGAGCTTGGTTGTGTTGGAGCAACTCCTGGAGAAGATTGGCTTGTAATGTCGCCCTCCATGCCATAGCCTAGTGGCTCGTCATGCAACTGCTTGGAGAAGAGAGCTTCTAGGATTTGTGTGCTATCACCAGGACTTGTTCTCTTGGACGATGTTTGTGATGGCTCTAGCCAAGCAGCAGAACAGTCCCAAGAGTCTAGAGCTGGCTAGGGAAGTTTTTACCAGGATGGCCTGCTGGGATGTCATGGCTTGGAACGCCTTGCTTATAGGCTACAGCTGGGCTGGAGATGCTCTTGAAATGAAGTTGGAGATGCTGGAGTGGATCTGGTGTCATGGACAAGCCTGTTGGTGGTGTATAGTGATAACACCCTGAACGCTTCTACGCAGGGTGTTGTGGTGGGGGTGTATGCTCAGCTCAGGCTTATTAAGCAGGTAAATGCCACCTTCAATGCAATGGATGAGCGAGACACCGTGATGACCATGGAAGTGAACAAGTGGGACACCATGTCATGAAACACCATTGTTTGGCGTATGGCCAAGCTGGGCATCAATTGCCACCTTTTGTGCCACGGATCTGGGAGGCATGAAACTTGATGATGTCAACTACGTAAACCTAGTTGAGACAGTGAGTGGGAGCAGTGAGAACAGCTTGGTGATTGCCTATTAGGGAGGCGGACTGCAAGGGGGGCTCCAGAACCTTGGAAACACATGCTTCATGAACTGCAATGTGGTACGATGGCCAACTTCTTGCCAAGGTGACCAAGGTGGCAATTGCGGTCCTCAACATGTACGCCAAGTGTGAGTTGCTCCAAGCTGCAAGGGAGGTGTTCAACACCATGAAAGTGCAGGCCAGGGACGTAGTGACATGGAGCACATTCATTGCTTCCTATAGCTCAGCCGATTTCACTCCAGTGGCACTGGATAGACTGCTTGTTTCCACCAAGAGATGCACTGTTTGACTTGGCCTACACTCTCTTGTTGCAAATATCTTTTTCCTGCCTAAAGGTTGATATAGGATAGCTTAAGCATGGTGATTCACTCTTTTCTTGAGAACTCTATAACACAAGGATTTTCTACAGCAACATACACCTGTTGCAAAAGTAATGATGTTATGCCTAGCAAACATCTTGTGAGTTTTCTATTTTTGTTATGAGTTTCTACTTACAGCAACATACACCTGTTGCACAAGTAATGATGTTGTGCTTGGTGAACATCTTGCCCAGCAAGCTAAACAACCCAAAACGTCAGCAATTGATGATTCGGGAAATTCATAGTTGACTGTGGGGGTTTATTCACACACTAAGGTGGCAATTGTAGAGTGCCTGTTATTTCATGATAAAACCACTTTAGACGATATTGTATTCATCTTAGGAAAACAAGAGTTGTGGCCATTCACAATTCCTTTGGTTAATGTTTTGTTAATATGAGTTGAAACATGAAACTAAGCTCATATTGACACTAATATAGTTCATATTAGATAGCAACAGAAGTTTGGATCCCTCATGTACTTGCTCCTGGGATCCATTCCACTCATTGTAGCTGTTCCTCAAGACCCACGATGCCGCATTCACTAGTTAGCAGGCCACCCAGGGTGGCCGTTGAGATCTCCATGTACAACTTCAAGAGCTTATCTTACTTGGAGGGTGAGTACAAGAACATTCGAAGGATGTGCTCCATGGAGCTCTTCACGGTCAGGAGTGTCACCTCCTTCACCAAACCAAAATCATCTGGGACGAGCTGTGGGAGCTCACTGCCAAGCACGCCAAGGCTATCAACCAGTGGCATTGCAAGGGAAGTTGAGATCACTGGGCTTCAATGTTATGACCCACATCCTCATGAACAAGACTTACTTTTGATCCAAGACTTCTGGTGATGATCCAGAGGCGCGGTATTTTGTGGAGTCGCGGTGTTCTCCATAGCAAATTATTTCCCCAGATGGAGCATAGCCTGCTGGAAGATGGATGCGTTCCTGGACAATGTTTTGGATGAGCAAAGATCTGGAGAAATTCCAGACTTTGTGGAAATGACAAAGGTGCGAGTCAACGGCCCCGACCAGACCCAGAGTCTGCCAAGTGAAAACTCTTTATTAATCGAGCTAAGTCTCTCTTTGCTCGCCTAGGATTTACTTATTGGTGGCTCGGAGACATTGTTTGACCGTGATTGAATGGGCTATGGCCTAGCCTCTTCACAGTCCTGAATGGATGCAAGAGACTGAAAGTGCGGTGAATGGTGGAGGAGTCCGACTTGGGAACCTGTAATCAAGGAGACATTTCCGCTAGCGCTGCTGATCCCACACACGTTCCCGGAGCCTCGACTAGTTGCAGGCTTTGAGATTTCAGCAAAGGCGACAATGCTCATCAACAGGAAGGGTTTCCCAGGCCCGGCCAGATCCGGAAATGTTCAAGTCTGGGAGGTTGGTTGATAGCAATATCAGTTTACCACGACTTTGAGTTGCTTCCTTTCGGATCTGGAAAGTGAGCTTGCCCTGGACTTCCTCGTCCAAACTTGATCCATGGGGTGGAGATTTGCGGATGGAGGCACAAGGAAGTCCTCCTTTGACAGTGGCCCTGGATTGATTGATACTCTTGCGAATGCTATTGTGGCCCATGTATCCCCAAGACTTTGGACTCTTTCAGCTTCGTAACTTAATTAAACTACCTAAGGGAAAAAATATATTCTCTTACTTTCAAAGAATATGCTATGAGTTATTTGATTCCAAGGGAATATATCTGTCTTCGTTGTCGTCGTGGCCATCGTCGCGGGATTGCGTTGCGCGGGGATGATCTCGTCTTCTCTTCGGCAATCGACAGGAATGTAGCGGAGCAGTGGGAGTGCGTGGCGCTGCGTCCCCGAATTCTCAGGGTTTAGGGTTTATCATGTACAAGGTAGCCGGCGCCTTGATTTCCAGGTAAGCAACTGGAGATTTCGTTCCCGCTGAGAGCTAACGAAATTCTCTCGCTGCTGGGTTGCTAAGATCCAAGACACAAGCACAGGTAGGTTTGTTTCCCTCAATTTTTCTTTTGCTATCTTAGATTTTTTGTTGTTTCATCGTAGTTCCTTGCGAGACACTATGGACTTATCCCCAAGAACACCAAGTATGGTGTGGAGGCGAGATTACTTATGCTTCAAGGTGTCCAGCAGCTCGCGGATTGTGTCAAAGTCACAATGGGTCCAAAGGTAGAAAAACAGAATTTCTGGAGTGTAGGATTGTCATCGTTCGTTCATCTGATACTTGAAATTGCTAGGGAAGAAATGTGATCATCGAGCAAGATAAGTATGGACCTCCCAGAGTTACCAAAGACGGTGTCACGGTTGCCAAGGCCATTGGTTTCAAGGATAAGATGAAAAACGTTGGAGCAGACCTTGTCAAGCGCGTGGCAATATCAACTAACGATGCTGCTGGAGATGGTAAGTTTTCGATCGATGTTTTTTCTTTTTTCATTCGCTTCACAGTGATGGCGTTGCAGGGACGACCCTTGCCACGGTTTTAACGCGTGCAATCTTCACCGAGGGCTGCAAATTGGTGGCTGCTGGCATGAACGCAATGGAACTCCGTCGTGGTATTAATCTAGCAGTCGATCACGTGGTATTTCATCTTAAAAATCGGGCTAAGATGATCAGTACTTCCGAGGAGATTTCACAGGTTTGTGCTGTGCTTCCTTTTGGCTTATGTTCGTAATTCTTGCGCAGGTCGCGACTGTTTCGGCAAATGGTGACAAGGAAATTGGCGATCTGGTTGCTAAAGCTATGGAAAGAGTTGGCAAGGAGGGATTGATCACTATCTGGGTACTAGAACAGCTTCCTACATGGTTTTTTCTGGCTTTAACATTTCATTTCGCAGGATGGTCAAAAACTCCATAACGAGCTTACTGTTGTCGAGGGGATGGAGATAGACAAGGGATATATATCGCCATACTTTGTCACCAATGCAAAGACGCAAAAAGCGGTATGCGAGTCTTGCTGGCTGGAACCTGCTTGATTTGCCGAGCTTTTGCAGGAGTTTGAAGACGCATTGATTCTCCTCCATCCTGACAAAATTTCAAGCGCACAGAAACTTGCACCTGTGCTTGAGATCATCAAGAAGGTAGTTCTAGTTCATTTGGATCCGTCTTTCTATGCCTGGTCTCAAAATGACTGCTTCTTCAGCTTCAAAGGCCTCTACTTATTATTGCTGAAGATGTGGAAGGCGAGGCTTTGGCATCTTTAGTCGTGAATAAAATGCGGGGTGGACTCAAGGTATGAGAATCTTCTTCTGTTTGTTTGTTATTTTTTTCTTCTCTTCTTTTCTAAACGTCGAGCTTTCAGGTAGCTGCCATCAGATCCCCAGCCTACGGTGAAAATAGGAGAAACACTCTGGAGGACATCGGTATTTTGACCGGTGCACAAGTAAGCTGTTACTTCACGGCTTGTCATGTGGTGTTCGAACCAAATTTGTGGCAGCTAATCACAAACGAGATGGGGTTGAAGCTTGAGGATGTTCGTGTTGATATGCTCGGAACGGCAAAACAGGTCCGTTGCTCCAATGGTTTGAACTTGCGGTAAACCGATCTCTCAGGTGACAATTGCTCAAGAAGACACCATTATCCTAAATGGAGGAGGCGACAAAGCAGCCATTGAAGAGCGTTGCGAGCAGGTTTTAAATATGAAAACAGTTCGTGACGATGGTCTTAATGCTTCTATTTTCTCAGATCCGGCTAGAAATACCTGTTGCGATTTCCAAGTACGACAGGGAAAAGCTGGAGGAGCGTTTGGGAAAGCTATCCGGTGGAGTGGCCATGTTAAAGGTGGAAGCATTTTGCTATTCGTGCGTCATTTATCTGATGCTGTGCCAGGTTGGGGGCGGAAGTGAAGCAGAAGTCATGGAAAAGAAAGACCGCGTGATGGATGCGCTTAACGCAACAAACGCAGCGATAGAAGAAGGCATTGTTCCTGGTAAGCAACCACCGATGCTTTCATTTTATACTCTCACTATGTTTAGGAGGTGGAGTTGCATTGCTCTATGCGGCTAACGAGCTAAAAAACCTCAGTGTACCAAGCTTTGATCAAAAGATCGGAGTTCAAGTCATCCAGAACGCTCTAAAGGTTCGTGATTTAAAAAGAAAACAAGCTCTCGAATATCAATTTTTTAATTTCTTCTGCAGATACCAACGCACACAATCGCTGCAAACGCTGGCGTCGAAGGCGCTCTGGTGGTGTCCAAGCTTCTCGAGCAGAGCAGTCCAAACTTTGGTTACGATGCTGCCACAGGTAAAAGACGCTATTTACTCCTGTGGTCTCGCGTTTTAAGGGAGTTTTTGATGGAAACCAGGTGAGTACGTTGATATGATCAAAGCCGGGATTATAGATCCAGTGAAAGTTATCAGAATAGCTCTCATGGATGCTGCAAGGTACTTTTTTTTTTCTTTCCAGAAAGCTTGGCTTATGTCGCGTTTTTTTATCCAGTATCTCGTCACTGCTAACAACAACGGAGGTGGTGATAACCGAGGTTTTCAGGGAGGAGAGAGAGGCGATGCGCGCAGGGATGGAAGCTCCGCAAGGAATAGGCGACATAGCACAGTACTTGTGATCTCAAAAGGTGAAAGTTTTCTTGCCTTGTAAACTTGAGAGGTTTTGTTCCATTATTACTTACGCAGCAACAGCCGCTTTCTCGTCCCTGTTCGTGAAAATGTTAAACAGTCTGGTAATCTCCACTCCTCTCGCCTTCACTTCTCCTCCTTCCGGCTTCTTCTGGTTGAATTTCTCCTTGTCACTTCTTCGTTTCTTCAAGCTGTCTTGATCGAATTTGTCAACTTTAGCTTTCGAGACTGTTTGATCCAGCTTGGCATGGCCTACTTTAACTTCCGGTGCTTCTGATCTCACTCCCAGCTTCCGGCTGTTCATCCTTAGTGTCTTTTTCGCAGCGTCTTCACCACTAGCTCCTGTTTGATCCATCTTAGTCGCACCTTTCCACTCGTTACGTGATCTTCGATCAGCATACCACCTCGTCCTCCGCAAGGGAACGTCACTGAGCTCACATCCTTTACCACCAGCGTCCAAGCTCGCCTTGTTCATCACCTCCCACTCTCGCCTCCTCGCCATCTCCCTCACGCTCTCCCGGGCGCTCTTCTGCCGTGCCACCTCCGCGTCGATCTCCTCGGACCACTGCGGCATGGCCGCCTTCATCTCCTCCACCCAGGCCTTCTGCTTGGAGACGCTGTCGTGTATCACCACCGTCTTCTTGATCATCCCAGGCACGGGAATGTATCCCATGATGATCCGCAGGAAGATCTTGAGCTGCGGAGTCCGGAGGTGGAGCCGATAGTACCACTTCTCGACGCGGCTCCTCCCCCACAGCCGATCAGCCCGGTGGAGGCACACCACCTCCGCCTCCACCTTCCACATAACTTTGAGGTATTTCTGGATCATCTCCACCGACTGTTTGTCAAACTTGTCCAGGATGATCCGGCCCTTGGTCCCGCGAGCGATGATACTCCCGCGATCGCACCACCACACCGCCAGCGACACCGGCGTCATGTGGTTGAGCCACTTCCGCTTCACCACCGTGTGGTTCTTCCAGCAAGTCATGTGGTGGAAGTCCCGGAACTCGGGCACCGGGACCGTCCGGAACTCGAGCTTGTCGGCCCGGGTGCCAAAAGAGTGCTCGAACGCCATCTCCTTGAACTGCTCGGCCTTCCAGTCGAAGTACTCCTTGTTCATGGCGTGGTTCCGGAAGAACAGCACCGCGGCGTCGGGGTACTTGTCCCTGTCCACGAAGAGATTGCCGTGGCCGAGCAGCGAGCCGAGGAGAACCGAGCGTACCATCTCCGAGACGTCCACCGTCTGGAGGAGCTTGAGCGCCAGGTTGGGCGCGTGAGCTCCGCCACCTATTGGAAGAACGTTGCTCGCCATGTTTGGCTTCCTTCTCTTGGAGTTCTCGTGGCTTCTCATGAGCGAGCGAACCTCCCATGGCAGGCTCTCCCGCTTGGCCAGTGGAGCGTTCCTGGCTTTTCGAGCCATGCGGTGTGGAGCGTGGATCCTGGCTGGGCCGACCCTGTGCCCGAAAATCCCAGTCTTGGTGGGCGACTTGAAGATCTCATACTTGTAGTTGTAGAGGCTGGCTTTGAGCAGGGATGGATGCTGGCCGGGCGGGAAGCAGTATGATGGAGTGTGATCTTTGGGAGCTGGCGCTGGCGCTGGAGCTGGAGCTGCACTGGATTGATTTCTTCCAGTTACTGGATCCCCGGACGATGAAGCTGGAGCTGGATTGGATTGATTTGTTCCAGGTGCTGGACCTTTGGACGATGAAGTGGAGTTTTTCTGAGAAGAAATTGCTGGATACCTGGGACTAGCCGCCGACGAGCACATCATCCTCCCAAGGAGCTTCCAGTGCGGGCCGGTAGCCTCGCCGGATCGCAGCGATCGCAGCGAGATCATTCTCCCCTTAAACCCTAGCTAAAGCCCTGGATCCTGGAGATCACGAATCCACAAGCCGCATCCAAATGTGACATTGCGATCGCGTCGATTCCGCGCCTCGCCGCCATTGCTAAAGATTTCTAGGGTTCTTGAGCAAAATATTTTAGGGATCTTGGATGGATCCGGGGTATGGCGACTCGCTGCTCATCCTCGCCATCGCCTTCGCCTCCGCGTGTATCTGCGAGGGGATCTCCTGGCTCCTGATCTACCGCTCCTCCTCCTACAAGGCGCTGCGCTACACCATAGATCGCACCAGCAAGAAGCTGGAGACGATGAAGAGCGGCGGGGGAGGCGCCAAGAAATCCTCGCGCACCAAGAAGATGGATCGATTCGAGTCGAGCCTCAAGGAATCGAGCAGGGATCTCTCCTTTTTCAAGTTCAAATCCGGCGCCGTCGTGGCGCTCGTCTTGCTCGTCGTGTTTGGCCTCCTCTCGTCGCTCTTCGAGGGCAAGCCCGTGGCGAAGCTCCCATTCGCGCCGTCGCCATTCATCCAGAAGATGACGCACAGGGGCCTGCCCGGCGACGATCCCACCGATTGCTCCATGGTCTTCTTCTACTTCCTCTGCTCGGTAAGCATCCGATCCAATCTCCAGAAGCTGCTAGGGTTCGCTCCCCCGCGCGGCGCCGCTGCCAATGCCGGGATGATGTTCGCTGCTCCCGATCCGAAGGCGCGGTAGTAATGGATCGATCGATCGCTCTTGTGTTCTTGATTAATCCTCTAGTTCTTCCTCGATTCAATGTGTTCTTCCATGGAGGACTCTCTCGAAAATTCCTAGAAGAGGAATCCTAGTGTGCTATGCCACGTGGTGTGTGTTTAGAGGCCACGATTGTAATAAAGCACCGCGCCGTCTCTGTTCTAGGGTTTTCATTTGGAGGCATTAACGTGTGAGCGGCGCTTGGAGGGCGCTCTGGGAATTAGGGTAGGCGATGGCGCGCTAGGGCTGTGAATCAAGGAAGGCGCGCGCCGGCATGGCTAGGGATGGCAGGGTAGACGATGCCAAGGACAAGTCTAGGAAGCGCAAGTCGGTGGAGGACGAGCAGCCTTCCTCCAAGCGCCGGGAGGACGATGATGGTAAGCGCAAGCACAAGCACAGGAAACACAAGCACAGGAGCAGCCACCGCAAGCACATTAGTAAAGAGGTCGACTTGGATGTGGTGCCGGCGGCCATGGCGTGCGAGGCCGAGGATGGGGAGATCCTTGAGCCGACGGAAGATGGGATTGTTCTAAAGGAGGAGGGGAATGGTAGTTCCGAATCGGAGAAGGATGTGGAACAAGAGATTGAAGCCCCAAAGTCGGAGCGGGGAAGCCCGAGGCGATCCAGGGATGGAAGCCCGCCGCGCGATAATGTTGATAGAAAGCACAGCAGTCCAGATAGGAGGCACAGGGGGAGTAGCGTCGATAGAAAGCGGAGGTCGCGATCGAAGGAGAGCGTGCGCGAGAATGCCCGGCACCACAGTCGGGTGGCGAGCCCCGATAGGAAGCGACGTCGCTCGAGGTCCAGAGATAGAGGAGATGAGCGAAGCCGGAGGCATGCTTACAGTCCCGATAGAAGACGGCGCTCCAGATCGAGAGAACACGATGAGCGTGAAAAATATCCTAGGAAGAGAGCCGAGTCGCGTGATAGGCATATAAAAGATGATCGAGGGGCTCGGGATGATGAAAGGCATTATAACAGGGATAGAAATAGGCGTGACCGGGAGGAGCTGTCGGAAAAGCAAGAAACCACACAGAGCGAGACCATTGAGAGGTTGGTTTGGTTTCAGTTTGCCGTGTTTTTGAAGTGAATTTTTCGCTGTTGCAGGGAAGAAGAAAACCAGGACGAGTATCTGGAGCGTGTTGCGCATCAGTTGGCTGAGCAAGAAGAAGACATAGAGAAAGTCAAGGAAGAGAGTCGAAAAAGAAGGCAGGCCATCTTGGAGAAGCATAAAATGCAACAGAGTCAGCCGGAGGAGCCGGGTAAGTCGTTCCTTCTTGTAAACATATAAGCTAACGCTTTAAATTTCCAGCTGAAACCATGAAGGTTTCTAAGCCTTTAACAGCAGCAGAGCCAGATAGTGGTGAGGGTATTATTGACCCTTCGACCCCTTTATCGCTTGGGAAGTCTGCTCTCCCTAATGGGACGATTCTAAAAAGAAATGCAGGTGGTCTTGGAGAGGGTTCGCCACCAAAGGTGAGAATTTGCCTTCGTAAGAATTTACTAATTTCTAGTTCGTTACAGAGTGAAAAGCCAGCCGACATGTTCTGTGACATTTTTGGAGAGTCGCCTGCAGAAATTCGAAAAGCGGTAAGTTTCAGTTGTGTCTCTTCATAATTCTGAGAATTTGTGTGTGTAGGGAACGAGAGATACTTTGGCGATTGATACGAGTGGGCTTACGGATAATTGGGATGATGCAGATGGTTACTATAGTGAGTATGTGAATTAAAAACTGACGGATGCTCATGTTTTACTTCGTGCAGCTTACCGAGTCGGTGAGGTTCTTGATAATCGGTATGAAATTGCATCGTCGCATGGCCGGGGTGTATTCTCGACTGTGGTGCGTGCGAGGGACACGAAAGCTGGTCGAGGAGAACCGGAAGAAGTGGCTATCAAAATTATCCGAAGCAACGAAACTATGTAAGTGTTGTCTTAAGCGCTTTTATCTTCATTTGATGCGTCTTGTTGTAGGTTCAAGGCAGGCCAGATGGAACTGATCATTCTTAACAAACTGGCTGGGGCGGATCTCGAGAACAAGCGGCATTGTGTGCGTCTTCTTTCCAGCTTTGAATACCGGAACCATTTGTGCCTGGTTTTTGAGTCTCTCCATATGAATCTGCGTGAGATTCTAAAGAAGTTTGGTCGTAATATAGGTATTAGTCTGGCTGCGGTTCGCTCTTATGCCAGGCAACTCTTCACTGCTTTGAAGCATTTGCGAAACTGTGGTGTTTTGCACTGCGATATCAAGCCCGACAATATGCTGGTAAGTCCTCGTTTGCTGTACATACTGCGATTTAACGGCCTTGACTTTACAGGTGAACGATTCTAAGAACTTGCTCAAGCTTTGTGACTTTGGTTCCGCAATGTTTGCTGGCGAAAACGAGATCACTCCGTACCTCGTGAGCCGCTTTTATAGAGCACCAGAAATCAGTAAGTGGTCTTTCTTTTCCTCTTTTCTGGATCTCATATTTCGTTGTTCCAGTTTTGGGGCTGCCGTATGATCACGCCCTGGATATGTGGTCTGTGGGATGCTGCTTATACGAGCTTTACACTGGCAAGGTTCTTTTCCCAGGCTCCACAAATAATGACATGCTAAGGCTTCATATGGAGCTCAAAGGGCCATTTCCCAAGAAGATGCTGAGGAAGGTGATCACCTTACCCTCCTTCTGTGTTGTTCTTTCATCGTTTTTTAGGCATTGACACCCTTGGCGTCGGGTGACAGATGGAGACTTAAGCTACAACTTAATGATGGGATAGGCTGCTTTATGATTGGTGAGACGTGCATATTCTGAGAGCTCACAGAATAGGGGGTGGGGTTTAGTTTGCCTGGTCCTTAGATCACTTGCTGTTGAGCATTTGCAAGGTTTTTGCGGACTTACATGTTTTTTTGTTCTGGCAGGCGATGTTCACCGCCCAACATTTTGATCAGGACCTCAACTTCCATGCCATCGAAGAAGATCCCGTGACCAAAAAGGTGCAGTTTTGTATATTTCCCGTTTATTCGTTTCTACATTTGTTATCTTTCCAGACGATTAACCGAATGATCACCAATGTCAAGCCCAAAGACATCTCGACACTCATATCCTCCTCGGGGGGGTCCGACGAGGATGCCAAGAACCTCCTCAATTTCAAACTTCTGCTGGAAAAGATTTTTATTCTGGATCCTGAGAAGCGATTGACTGTGTCTCAGGCACTCAACCATCCGTTTATCACCAAGTAGCAAGGCAGGCGAGACTGTACATATCCTCTTCTCATTTTGGCGTCCATGGCACAAGACGAAACGAGACAACGAAAAGCTCCGGTTTTTACATTTAGCGTAAGAAAGTTTCTCTTTGTATTAGCTCGTCTAATCGTTCACAACTTTGCTTTTGAAGGGGGCTGGAACTTCCCTGCTTTCCTAAAAGTTCTCTCTAGAGATTATATCAAAGCGTCCAGGTTTTACTTGCAACGCTGTTCTTCGCCTTCTAACTTTCGTTGTTCCAGAGAGACAACCAAGAAAACGCAAACAAATTTTTTTTTTTTTGATCGATCCATCAAATCGGTTTCCATGTCGTGTGTAAAGAATGCGATCATCGTCGCACGCGAAGTCTATCCACTGGTAAAGCTATTTTTGGTCCCCTTGTCTCCGATTGGACCGTTGGATGGGCAATCGGACGGTTCTAATTGTTCCACTTGTACGATTCCGGGTTTGAGTTTAAATCACTTGGAATCGTGCCTAGGGTTCTCGAAAATTTTCCATTTTTCGCGATGAATCGTCTGGCAGTGCTGTCCGCGCATTTGAAATCGCCGCAGGAGGAAGAGCCGGGATCCGGCATCGAGGCATCGATCGTCTCTGCCGCCAGCGGATCGCGACCAGCTGCTGGTGGAGGTAGTGGATCGCTCACAGTTGTGGACAATCGAACAGGGAAGAAGTATGAGTTTGCTATCAGCGATGGCGGCACGGTGAATGCCACGGATTTTAAGAAGGTATTGATATTTCGCGTTGATCGATGTGGTGAGGTTACTTTCTTCGCTCTTTTCCAGATCAAAGCTGAAGGTGATGATAATGGCTTGAAGCTGTATGATCCGGGATACCTCAACACGGCGCCTGTGCGTTCTTCCATTTCTTACATTGATGGGGACAAAGGGATTCTTCGCTACAGGGGATATCCGATTGAGGAATTAGCGGAACACAGCACTTACCTAGAGGTCGCGTATCTACTAAGTAAGTCTCTATTTTTCTTTGATCGGTTGCGTGGTGTAATTCCTGTTTTTTTTTCTCAGTGTATGGCTATCTCCCGACTAAAGCACAGCTCTCGGATTGGGAAGCCACGATTATGCAGCACTCTGCTCTACCTGAAGGAGTGCTGGTATGTGAAAATATATCTTTCGCTTCTTTTATTCTTTAGCCTGTGATTGACAACTTTGCTACAGGCTGTTATATCTGATTTGCCTCATGACGCTCACCCGATGGGAACTCTTGTTGGCTCCATATGCGCTCTTTCTTCTTTTCATCCTGATGCTAATCCAGCACTTCGAGTAAGTTCTTTTTTTTATGGTATTGTGTCTTTGCTATGACACTCTTTCATTGCAGGGGCAGGACCTTTACAAGTCGAAGCCCGTTCGTGACAAGCAAATTGTTCGCATTATTGGCAAGGTAACCATCGAGATTCGTGGACGTTAGAGCTTTTAAAAATGACTTCATTGCCAGGTCCCCACTTTGGCAGCTGCTGCTTATCTGAGAATGGCGGGCAGGCATCCCGTGGCGCCATCCAACAGTCTTTCCTATGCCGAGAATTTTTTATACATGCTGGACTCAATGTAAGTCCAAAAACTTGGTAGTGAACCAGGGCTTGATGCTTGTGGATTCCACAGGGGTGATCGCAATTACAGGCCTAACCCACGGCTTGCAAGAGCCTTAGACATTCTTTTCATTCTTCATGCTGAGCATGAGATGAATTGTTCTACTGCTGCTGCTCGTCATCTCGCATCAAGGTAAGGGAGTCCACTTGTTTCGTAACTGTAAAGTTCTAATCGCTACTATAGTGGCGTAGATGTATACACCGCAATTGCTGGAGCGACTGGCGCGTTGTATGGTCCCTTGCACGGAGGCGCCAACGAGGTTTGATCAATTGAAACCGTTGTGTAAAAACATCTTGCTGGGTTATGGTTGCAGGCAGTGCTGAAGATGCTCAGTGAAATTGGTACAGTCGAAAAGATCCCAGAGTTTATCGAGGGAGTCAAGAACAGGTATTTGGAAGCTTATACCGCTTAAAGACTTGACACATCTACTTTATAGAAAGCGGAAGCTTTCCGGTTTTGGTCACCGAGTTTACAAGAACTATGATCCCCGCGCAAAGGTTTTTTCTCCTTTGATATCCGTCTTTCTCAGCTCACTTGCTGCATTTTTTTCAAACCGTAGGTGATAAAAAATCTTTCGGAGGAGGTATTTTCAATCGTTGGACGTGATCCACTGATAGAGGTAACGTCTCTAATCATCGTAAGATGTTATCAATTTGTTCTACAGGTTGCCGTTGCATTGGAGAGAGCCGCGCTCTCGGACGATTATTTCGTGAAGAGAAAACTCTATCCCAACGTGGACTTCTACTCGGGACTAATATACAGGTAACCTCCACATCGTTTCAGAGAATCTCACAACTTTTCGTCGCAGAGCTCTGGGATTCCCATCGGAGTTCTTCCCCGTCTTGTTCGCCGTGCCCCGGATGGCTGGCTACCTCGCGCACTGGAAAGAGTCGCTCGACGATCCAGACACGAAGATCATGCGTCCACAGCAGGCATGTCTCACATGATCTTCACGCTAAAATCCTCTTCTCTTTTTCCTTTTTTCCTCGCAGTGGTACATTGGCGAATGGTTGCGTAAGTACATTCCACTCTCGAATCGCTCGGTGGAAACCACGGCCGAGAAGCTGGGCCAAATTTCCGTGTCAAACGCTACAAGGAGGCGTTTGGCTGGCGTTCCCTCTTCTTAACATAAAACACTACATTAATAAACAATAATTTCCAGACTAAGACAAATAGGTTTAATAATTTAGGGTTAGATAGCTATGGCGCTCCAGCGATCGCGCGATCGGGGCTCTTACCGGATGTATCCCCCCCCGCCGCCGTCCGCGCCGCCAATCCTCGCGGCGGGGAGCCCGGCGGCGCCTCCGCACATTCCAATGCCGCCTTCTTTCCAGTATCATCACCACCAGCATCACCAGCAGCCACAGCAGCAGCCCCCGCGGCAAAACCAGGTACAAGCGTCTCCTCATCCTCACTCCTATCACCAGCCGCGAGAGGTTCTTCTTCACGGCGGCGGCGCCGCTGGCGTGCCTGCTGTTCTTGATCTGGCCATGGCGGCATACCGGCAGCGAGCGGTGCCGGCGCCGCCGCCCCAGTCTAGCCACGGGATTTTGGGCCCCCAGCAGCAGCGGCTCCAGCCCTCTCCCGGCTGGGACGAGAGGAATTTTCGGAATCATCATCTTCTTCCGCCAATGCCGCATCAGGGGCTGGAGATGCGTATCGATTCTAGCGTGGTGCTAGACGGGAGGTTTCCACCGGATAGTAGATTAGCACCGAGTAGCGCAAACTATAGGCCGCATGCTTCCATGGCAGACTCTACACACGACAGGAACGTATACTGGCAGCCTCCTCCCAGCAATCTCTACTCGGCCGAGGTGATGGTTCCCAGAGCTTACCAGCGGAGGACTCCATCGCCATTGCGTGGTAGCGATCGCCGGTTTGTGGAAGTCGAGAGCGGGCATTTGGCGTCCAGGTCCATGGTGAGCTCGCCGCGGCCACACTACGATCGAGAGGTACGTAACAGGAGCCGCGAGAGAAGCCCAGCTCGGTACCAGAGAGCGTCGAGGGTGGTGGAGCGGAGCTCTCCATTGCCGGCGAGGCCGAGCTACGAAGGGCGACGGCATTATCACAGGGAAGATGATGATCGTGAGGATGGACAGCTTACGCCGGAGGATAACATCAGGAGGAAAGTGTATGGGCGGAACTCATGCACCAAGTATCACGACCACTCGCACTCGACGTCGGATTCTCACGGCCGGAACCAGAGAGTTCATTCGCAGCAGAAGAGGGAGCGGCCGGCATGCAAGGAGCTTGGCTCTCCGGTTAAGAAGTCGAGGTTTGATGTGCGACCTCCACTGGTGGAGATGCCTGGGGAGACCAGCGTAAAGAAGCTGACCGTCACGGGACACAAACAAGCTCCTAAAGACCATCCGGCTCGAGATTCTCGCAGTCCGCAACGCACTCCGAAAGAGAGAGAGAGGGCGCCCAGCCCTGTTCCAAAGCTTCACACGGTTGGAAAGTCGTCCTCGGCGAAAGCTTCTATCCCGACTCCGACTCATCCTCAGCCTTCGTCATCCCAAGTACAGAAAAAGCTCAAGGAAATACCAGAGAAAACCTTGCTCGCGAATACCACGGAAGCTCCGACTGATCCCGAGCCACAGGAACAAGCAGCTGTGGCGTTGGAACCCCGCCAAGCCAAGCACTTTGAAGCTGTTACGGAAAACGGACAAGCGAAGGAAGCTGATGTTGATATTCCGGTAGCGGCAGCGGTAGAGAATGGGGAACACGTAGATAGCGTACTGGGAACTTCGTTAGTATTAGCGGACGGAACTGAGAGACCGACATCGTTAGAATTAGCGCAGGTACCTGAGCGTGCTGCCCGGGAGGAGCAGCACACTACTGCACCAGCGGCGAGCACAATTCAAGCGTTAGTCGACCATTCACAGAAGGTTACGTCTTCTTCCGACGAGCGCAAGCATGGCTCGAAGCAGGCTGTATTAAGTATAAGGAAGAACCCGTCCATGCCTGTGGCTTTCAAGCCGCGAACTACGGCTACGTCGAAGACATGGCATAGAGATGGGAACGCTCCAGGAACCTCGAAGCTTTCGAACGTGTTTACCGCGGGCAAGTCCGGTGAAGCGTCTACGTTAAGCACTGCGCCATCTTATGTTCGGAAAGGCAACAGCCTGGTCAGAACATCGCCGGTCTTGCCCAAGTACACGGGATCTCCTTTACGAACTGCCGTGATGAAGAAACCGACTGTGCGGAAGTCACCAATCTTGGCAGCGAGTCCATTATCTTCTGGGGATCAAAACCAACAGGGTAAAGCAAATGCTACGTTGGATTCGTCGAAAGCTCCAGTAGAAATTATCGATCTCGATCCTGAAGTACCTAGTAGTACAGCTCTAGACTCGTCAAAAAACTCTTCGGGTGTTGGGGAGCTCGACAAGCAGAACAGCGTTCCTGGTGAAAATAGCGGCACGATACGCTCCAAGACCAGTCCGCTTGTGGTTTCACCATCTGGGGAACACGACCACTGTAAACCGGACGTGTACGTCAAACGGAAAACCAATCAGCTAGTTCGAAATACAGAAAGTTCTCGCAAGCGAGAACAGAGCTCTGAAGATCTGCCGGTGATGAAAACCAAGCTAGGAAAAGGTGATGACCCTTACCAAGTTCTGCATTTTCTAATGTTTTCTCCTTGGCAGCTTTGCGGTTGAAGAAGAATTCGTCTTCTTGGGTGTGGACGCCGAGTGATACCCACAAAGCACCACACTTAATGCCTTGGAAGAAACGGCTTTATAGAAGAGTCCGAACGCGTAGGCTGGAGGTTCTTCCTAAAGGGAAGAAAGGCTCGTTGCTATCGCTTATAAGGTAAGCTTTCCTGAACTCTTATGCCATCTTGTTTGTCAGATACATAGTTTGAAATGGCAGCGAAAAGCTTCGGGTATTACGGACGTCACAGCCTTTATATACTCGCTCTGCAAATGGCTTTTCGCTGCATAGATCTGGTGTTCGTAGCGTTGACGGTGCCAGTCTTAAATGGACAAAGTCACTCGAGAAACGCTCTCGGCAAGCAAACCAGGTATGCATGCAAGGTAATCATGTTACATGAAGCTGTAATACACAGGACGCTACGAAGGCGGTGGCAGCTTTGGAGAAACATTGCCGGAAGAAAACTGATAAAGGAGGCGTCAAAGCTGGAACATCACGTAAGTTGATACTGGTTCTTCCATCGATATATATCGTTTGTAATCCACAGGCGAGCGCATTGTCCTGGTCGGGCTTGTACGATACAAGATGGACCCGTCGAAACGAACACTGCAGCGGATACAAGGTGCTTTTGTATTCTCGGTCATCTAAGCGTGTCTGACGAAATATGGCCTTGCAGAGTCGTCTGAAAACTCTAATGTCTCGAGTTCATCAACTGGCGCTTGGGGCTTGTTGACTCCAAGGCGTGCATCGATTGGAGGTGCAGTGTAAGTTGATGTGGTCAGCCTGTTTCGGTGGTTTCTCACTTTCCGCTGTAAGCAGCTACGTGAGAATGGGAAATGGCAACCAGCTTGTGCGGGATCCAAAGGCTTCGAGCAGGGCGTTGGCAAGCGAGAAAGTCAGATGGAGTCTACATAATATCAGGTCCCGTGTCATCAAGAAGCAGCAGTACTGCCAGTTCTTTACAAGATTTGGCAAGTGCAAGAAGGGAGATGGAAAATGCCCCTACATTCACGACGCTGGTAAGGTGGCGGTGTGTACCAAATTCTTGAAAGGTTCCTGTTCGAACGTAAGCTGTCTCTTGACACACAAGGTACGCTCTGCGCTTGATGTGCTTGTCGGAAAGAATGGTTGTTCGTGCTCTACAGGTCTTACCGGAGAGGATGCCAGACTGCTCTTTCTTTCTACAAGGTTGGCCAGGGTTTTGTTTCTTTTTCTTCTTCTTCTTCATGACTGGACGTGCAGGCTTGTGCATAAACGAGGAATGCCCCTATCGGCACGTGAATGTGAATCCAGATGCTCCAGTCTGCGAAGGCTTTCTAAAAGGGTACTGCGCGAGCGGTGATCAGGTCGTCTCTATTTTTCCCCGATTGAAGTTTAACTCTGGCTCTTACTTTTGCTTCCAGTGCAACAAGAAACACACGTACGTGTGCCCCGCCTACGCTGCCACCGGAGAGTGCCCGGAGAGAGCAGCATGCAAGCTCCACCATCCCAAAAAGAAGGAACGCACCAGAGAGGTAAGCACCAAAGCAAGCACCAAGGGCGAGAAGAAGCGGCGCTACTTTGTTGGCTCGGAAATACCCCCTCGGCCGCTGGCAATGGGATCGTCGTCTCAAGACGTGCCCGGGAACATAGACGCAGGGGTGGAGTTCATCAGTTTGGAAGGGATTAGTCTGGACGGCGTAGAGAGGGATACAGACTCCGGGGACTCACGGAAGCCTCGGGTGCGAGAGGATGGCCTCTTATGGTTCAACGATATGTCGGAGGAAGAGGTGGAGAGGCTGATAAAGCCAGCGTTCGTGTGGCAGTCCCGCGAGCTCCTCCAAGTGTAACTTCTACTTCTCCGATCGTTCGCGAAGTTTGGAATGGGGTATAGGCAACTAGATAATCGAACAAGGCGGGGGAGCGAAATTCTTTGCAGGAAGGCAGTGAAACTGTTTCTTCCTTTTGTGTTTTTTTTTTTTTTTTTTTGGTGTGTGTGTATAATCCAACATCAAGGAAAGGTGACAAATCTAAGTAATCTTCCAAGATAGCAGTTGCTAAATCTCTGATAAACTTCCAAGTTTATAACATCCAGAGATTCACACTTTGAGTGATAACAGCATCTGCAATAGTATTAATAAATCCAGGGCCACTGTCAAATCTCTGGATCAAGTTTGAGAGCACCCCAAGAGGAAGCCCAGGACAACCTCGCTTTCCTGATCCAAACGGAAGCAACTCAAAGTCATGGCCATAGACGTTGGTATTGCTACCAACAAATCTCCCAGTCCTCAACTTGCCCGGATCATTCGGCCAAGCCTGGGAGTCCCTTCCAATCGCGTATGCTTTGATGACCACGGTCGCCTTTGCTGGAATCTCAAAGCCGGCCACTATTCGAGGCTCCGGGAACGTGTGTGGGATCATGAGGGGCAGCGGGGGATGAAGACGAAGTGTCTCCTTGATAACAGCGTTGACAAGTTCCAGCTTCGCCAAGTCCGATTCCTCCACCATTGGATCTCTCCCAACCACGCTTTCAATCTCTTGCTGAAGTTTCTCCATCCACTCGGGGTTGTGAAGTTCGGCCATAGCCCATTCAATCATGGTTGATGATGTCTCGGAAGTAAATTCTAGTAAGAGAAGCACTGGATCAAATCAAGAGTTCTGAGCTTACCATGAGCAAAGCTTTGAGGTACTGGGTCTGGACGTTCACTTATGCCTTCGTCATCTCCACAAAATCGGGAACCGGTCTCTGCTCGTTCAAAACTTGGACCAGGAACCCATCCATCTTGCGGTGAGCTCTTCTACAGTGCGTTATGCTCCACACTGGGGAAGTAATCAGCTATGGAGAACGCCCCGGATGCCTCTAGCACCTCGACAATCAGCTCCACAAATTCCCGCGCCTGGGGATCATCGCTGGAAGCCTTGGATCCAAAGTAAGTCTTGTTCATGAGGATTGAAGCTCAGTGGTCTCAGCTTGCCTCCCAATGCCACTAGCTGATTGGAAGCCTTGGCAAAGTTCGTCCCGGATGATTTTGGTGAAGGAGTTGACCCTTCTGGCCGTGAAGAGGTGACCATTCTGGCGGTAAAGATGGAGCACATGCACCTGATGTTCTTGTGGCACTCACCCTCTTGGACTTGTACTGTGAACGAATGTGGCCTATGAACTTCAAGCTTTTTGAGAAAAAGAAGAAACGGAAAACTTTTGTCATATCACTCCAAGAACTTGGTTTTAAATTAATTTTGATGTAATTCTTCCACCATGAAGAAGTATAACTCATAAGATTTGTCAGAAAAAATCAATTTTCAATTTGTCCCATAACTCCAACCAACAATTAACCTTCTACATGTTATAAACATTTGGTGACAACTTTCATTCCATGATATTATAATTATTAACATGCTTAATGTACCAATGGTAATCACAAATAAAAAATTAAGGATATTAAAGATTTTATCAATTTCATTAAGGATTTCCTACTTCACATAAACCCCCAAATAACATCCTTAATGTTATTCTAAACCACTCTTTTGTCATCCCTAAAAGTATATGTTGATCCAATACAAATGAAGAATAGAAAATGCATTTATCTTCCAGCTCCCAATCTTGATTGAAACAGCAGCAATGTTGGAAGCTTTCACGTTGTCAAGAACTGGAGCCCTAGCAACTGTTGGAGAGATGAAATGCGATCTGGAGTGTGAGCCTTAATGGTTAGGCTATGGAATATTCTTAAAATATTCCTGTGGTTGGGAATAGTGCACGATATGTCTATTTCAATTTGTCCCTACTCAATTTCCTTATGTGGCCGTTTCCCACATATACATTCAAGATCCAAGCTCTTTGGAATCTATTATCTGGAAAGCAAGAAGATGGTGATGGCATTATTCACAATTAAGATGGCACTTGAACAGTTGGAAGCGAGCAATGTGCTCCCACAATAAGAAGAAGAAGACGAAAAGATTGTATGCCTGAAACAAATCATATATGGCCTACAATATTTGTCCAAAAGTGAAGACATTTCTCCCAATATATAATGGCCTAACCCTGCAGTGGAAGATGATGGCATGTTGCTCCCACCTTAATCAAGCATTTTGAAAGCTTTAGAACTATTAACGTGATATCCCAATAAGATTGTGTTTACAGTCCATTTGTACCCAACTGAGTATAGACTCTATTCTATGTTGGTAAACAAACAAACGAGGCTCTTTGTCTCAATATTTTTGTTTATGGATTCATGATCAAGGTGGCATAACTTCTGATCTTAGTAATGTTCTTCATGAAACCTTGGTCTCTACTGAAAGGGAAAACTATGTAATGGAGCTCGAGATCTCTCATCCCATATATCCATAACATGTACAGAGTGGTTTCCCAACCCCAGGGAGTTTCAGATTACATGGTTTTGAGATATATTTCCCTAATGTTTGCTCTCAGCCAATGGGAGTGTGGCACAGGCTGGGTTGCCTGTTAAATATAATTTTTATGTGCCCCAGATGATTTAGAGATCAGCAGTGGTACACTTCCAAAATCGTCATTTTGTTTAACAAACGAAAGATAAAGCAGTCAATCTTAGCTAAATTAAAAAACCTCCAGGAAGAATATGCTTTGACTAACTGAGGAGCTAATGTTACTTGGGTAACCTTTCGCATGAATTTGTCAGATTTTTCGTTTTGCATGAATTCTTGCGGTCTGATTCTTGCCTGACTTTAAACACAAGGAAAATATAAAAAATTATTTCATTTGAAAACTAAGTTCAGATGAGGACAAAGTCGAAGATATTATGTGGCTCGCACTATTTCTCTGGCTGACGGAGCTCACAGGGAAGTGGCAAGTGGTGTTCTATGCTTCCATGATCATCCTCATAGTGAGAATGGCAGCAACCACTCAAGCACCAAACGTGATTGCACGAGGACAGCGGGCATTTGCGAGAAAAAGACGATGGCTACGTTGTGATATGGGCGATGAGACGCTTTGGCGCCTTCCTCATATAAATCAAGCCTTTTAGACAATAACAACACTTCTACCCAGCTGCCAATCTTCGTCTTATAACCCTTCTCCACAAGTGGTTCTCTCTCTCTCTCTCTAGGCACGCCATGATCAAGGTGGCATCCCTTGTCATCTTACTGTTCTTCCTGCAACCTTGGCCTGGTTCTAGCGTGACGATCCGGGAGAGGAGGCATGTGGGACGCTTCTCCCAGTTCGAAGCCAGGAGGATTACAAATGCCATCTCCAATCGCATCAGACAGCTCTCCTACTACTCCTCGTACAGCTCTGGCAGGAGCTTCAGCTATACGTTCATGGTCACGGACAGGATCAAAGCCTCGATACGCCTCTGGTTCTTCAGCATCGCCCCCTCCAGGGTTTACAACTTGTGTTCCATCTCGCCCAATAAGTCCATGATCTTGTCCACCCAAACCTTGCAGCAAGCATACTGGGAGATTTTCAGCACCATCTACACCGAGTCCCAAGACGGGTATGGATCCATGATCGTCTTCTCCAAGGTCTTTGCCATTGATTACATCTCTTGGGAGGGACAGCCGGACAAAGAGGAGCTTTGGAGCGTTGAAACCACGGACAGCTCGAGCTTGCATGGCCATTATCTCTGGAACGAGTCAGCTTTCTCTTTGCTCCGCCGGGACGCCGTGCCTGGCGATCCGGACCTCGCCGTGGAGGACTGCTGGCCTTTTGCGACGAGCATGATCAGCGGGCATGGATCCGTCGGCTCCTTCTTCATGGGTCCGTACATCTTGGAGTCGAAAAACCAGAAGTTCAAGGCCTTGATCAGGAGCGACTGTTACTTCGTCCTCTACGAGTGGCGTGATGGCCTGGGTGGCAAGAGGGAGGTGTGGAACAGCGGGATGGTCATGAAGAACCGGCATGCATCGTGTTCCATCAGCCTCCAAGTCGATTCCAATATGGTTATTGTGGATAATTCGGAAAGAAAGCCTCCCTTCGCATCCAATGTCTACTGCAAGCCACAGCCGAATTGTGTTAGAACGGCCGGGCTCTCGGTGGAGGACGACGGCTACATTGTGGTGTGGGAGACGGACAGCCAACGCGAGCTCTGGCGTGTTCCTCGCAGATGACAATGTAAAAAGCTTGCCTTAATAATCCTGGCGCATGGAAAGTTTTGGGCCCAGGACAATCTCGCCGCCGCTCAAGTTGTCGACGGTGGATTTTCATTATCTGAAACCCTTTTAGTTAGCTTGAGTTTTTGAGAATGAGGTTTCACTTAGCTTACGTGCATCAGACGGCTAGAAAACAGCGAGAGCCAGGAAGCAGCGGCCTCTGTCCCCAGGCAAAGCTTTCCCTGCTTAAAGGCTCAATGCAAATCAAACATATAAACAAAAGTACCTCCGGCATCTAAACAAAGATGAGAAACCTGAGAAAGCTTGATGGCTCGTCATCAACAGAGCATCCCCCTCTAGAGAAGTTTTCCTTGCATCCTTGCATCTTGAACTTTCTTACCCAGGTCCCACTGAGGCTTCTGAATGACCGTGCTTCTACTGGATAGCTAGAAAGAAGACAATGCATCTTAGAAAAAAGTTAAGCGAGAAGCTGCACATACATCAAAAGTTTGCTTTGGAATTCTCTGGCGATGTCGGGCTCCCCTTCACCCTGAAGTAGCATAGAAGAAATCCTTTTAAGTAGAACCTGTACTAAGGTATAGCAACGAGTTCTAACTTCTTCAAACCATCTTCGAGTCCATCTTTTCAGGGACTTGTCATTGGACATGGGGTCTTCCACAGCCAACCCTATAAAATGGAATTATCAACCAGTCTGTGTGGCAAGAACAACATTACTTGTTTCTGCCTAATAGGAAAGAAAGAAGAGAGAAAAAGGAGGGCCCATTGCAAAAAGCCCGATTTTCACGTAGATGAGCTTCGGCTGGCCTTTCAGAGGATGAACTTAAACTCCATATAATCTCTTTTGCTTTAGAAACTACAAGAATGAAAACGATTGGACGCGAAACAAAAATGATAGTCTGGGAGGATCGAGAGGAATCTCTTCAGTTTTGGACGAACCAAAGCCCGATTGCACGAGGGGAATTGGGAGGAAAAGTCGATGGCTATGTGATATGTGCGAAGAAATGCTTTCTTCCTACGATTAACGGATCTCTCAGCATCTCCAATGGCATCCCATACCATTCTCCTAGTGCCATCTGGACCACTGCTATGTTATTCTAATAAGACACTAAATTCTATACTAACAAGAAAGTCTTGTGATACTTTTTAGATGTATAAACACTACTCCATTTGGGTGAATTCGCCCAACTGAATGGACACTATGGACCTAAGAGGGAATCAGAATGTTTTAAAAAAGTATAAACCAACGAGGTTTAAACTTTTCTTTTCCCAGATACAGATAGGAAGAACATTTTCATACCAATTTTTTTCCTACCAAAGAGATGGAAACTTTGTTGGTTTATGGTTATAAGCTTTAATGTGATACTTTTGGATATTGAAATGATTATCCAGTGATGGTGGCTATAAGCCTTCATGCAATACCTCTAGAAGCGTTAATATGATATTTAATGAGGAGTTAAACAACCATTATCCCTATTATATATTTGGAACCTTAGTCTTTAGTGCTCCAAGACTTTATAGAGTATATACCTTAATAATGGATTATATTCTGGAAGCCTTTCTTTTTAGGTGAAAATTTTTATCAACAATTTGGAGATGATGGATATCTTAACTTCTAATAAGATTTTTCATAATATTAGTAATTTAATACTGTTCCTTCAATCGACCACATAAAAAGCCTTGAGGAGGAATGTGTGGTGCTCTCAGAGTGATCCTCATCTTCTGTGAGAGTGGCAAAAATATCAAAGCTGATGTTTATTGAAGAGTTGCAGCCACCATCTATTTTCCTTTGTCAAGAGTGTATAGATCTACATCTGGGATGATGTCTCAGTTAAAGGCATCCCACTGTGGTCACCATCTATTGTGAGGGAACCTTGCAACCTTGCCGCCCACTCAAGATCCAATGAAAATCGATTTCTGACTGGAAATGCCACTAGAAAATGTGTCCAATCTCAATAACACAATATATATAAGAATATCCCTAGAATCATACCCATGATACTGAACATGGGGTTGTGGTTGAGTTCTTGCTTAGTTATCAAATATATCTTAAATAACAAACATGACTTTCTCCAGCATTTGCTGCGTCCATTCTTTTGTCACACACTTAGATTGGAATTGTCACGAAGATATTGGAATGCTTCAGCGTCGTATACAGGATCGTTCTTCACGATCTCGATGGAGTGGTTGGGCCCCAGCTTGGCTGGCCCTTGTACGACACAGGATAGGATCAACGACTCAGAACTCACTTCAAGATCTACACCACTTGTAACTTTGTTCTCTGGTCCCTATGTTCATCATCAGCCTATAGCCCGAATACAAACATTATAAGTTCAAGGTGAGCTTCGGCGCCTTCCTCCTATATAAAACAAGCCTTTCGAATGTAGATTATCGTAGCTGCCAAGTTTTGTCTGACTCATTTATAAAAAGTGGCTCGTTCTCTCTCTCTCTCTAGGCACGCCATGATCAGGGTGGCATCCCTTGTCATCTTACTGTTCTTCCTGCAACCTTGGCCTGGTTCTAGCGTGACGATCCGGGAGAGGAGGCATGTGGGACGCTTCTCCCAGTTCGAAGCCAGGAGGATTACAAATGCCATCTCCAATCGCATCAGACAGCTCTCCTACGACTCCTCGTACAGCTCAGGCAGGAGCTTCAGCTATACGTTCATGGTCACGAACAGGATCAAAGCCTCGATACGCCTCTGGTTCTTCAGCATCGCCCCCTCCAGGGTTTACAGCTTGTGTTCCATCTCGCCCGATAAGTCCATGATCTTGTCCACCCAAACCTTGCAGCAAGCCTACTGGGACATCTTCAACACCATCTACACCGAGTCCCAAGCTCACGGGTATGGATCCATGATCGTCTTCTCCAAGCTCTTTGCCATTGACTACGTCTCTTGGGAGGGACAGCCGGACAGAGAGGAGCTTTGGAGCGTTGAAACCACGGACAACTCGAGCTTGCATGGCCGTGATCTTTGGAACGAGTCAGCTTTCTCTTTGCTCCGCCGGGACGCCGTGCCTGGCGATCTGGACCTCGCCGTGGACGACTGCTGGCCTTTTGCGACGAGCATGATCAGCGGGCATGGATCCGTCGGCTCCTTCTTCATGGGTCCGTACATCTTGGAGTCGAAAAACCAGAAGTTCAAGGCCTTGATCAGGAGCGACTGTTACTTCGTCCTCTACGAGTGGCGTGATGGCCTGGGTGGCAAGAGGGAGGTGTGGAACAGCGGGAGGGTCATGAAGAACCGGTATGCATCGTGTTCCGTCAGCCTCCAAGTCGATTCCAATATGGTCATTGTGGATAATTGGGGGAGAAAGCCGCAGTTTGCCTTCGCATCCAATGTCTACTGCAAGCCACAGCCGAATTGTGTTAGAACGGCCGGGCTCTCGGTGGAGGACGACGGCTACATTGTGGTGTGGGAGACGGACAGCCAACGCGAGCTCTGGCGTGTTCCTCGCAGATGACAATGGAAAAAACTTGCCTTAATAATCCTGGCGCATGGAAAGCTTGCTTTTGGTTGAGCCAGGACAATCTCGCCGCCGCTCAAGTTGCTCTGCAAGTCGACGGCGATGCTTGGAAGGGCTTTGGAGATTTTCATAATCTGGAAAAACCACAGATGCCTTTTAGCTTGATTTTGTTTGGAAGAATGAGAATAATAAAAACTTTCACTTACAGCCGCTCCTTGATCACAAATCTTGTTCTCTCCAATGTGCAAAGCTTTGAGTCCGATCGGCGGCGGTGCCTTGCCGATGATATCGGCTAGTGTGTGAACGCCCTGCACAGGCAGCAAACGTCATGGCAATATTTTACACTCAAAGCTGTATGAAATACTTTATCGGTTATCCCATTGTCGACCACTGAAAGTTTCTGAAGTGCGGCAGTTATAGGACGGCCAGTCTCCCAAATATTTCTTGCAAGAATCTCCAGCCCCTACAGTTTTTGGTTCATGTCAGTGAAAACGATGTATGTATGAGCAAACCCGGTCAGAGAGCTGGTTATGGTCCAAAAGTAGTTCCTGGAGTGTGCTACTTTCAGAGATTGCCAAACCCAGACCCGAAGCACTTTTTGCTCGAATCATATTCTCCTGTAGCGTCAACAAAATGCTAATAGCGATGGCACTTCACTTTACACTTACACTAAAGTCAAGTCTTTCAAGGGCAACCTTCAAAGACATGGACATGGTCGCTAAGTGTCCTTGTATCTTTGACATCTCTTTGTCACCGAGCTTGCAGTTTGCTAAACTAAGGCTCTTGACGGACTGAAAGAGTTGAGGCTACGTTAGTAGGAAAATAAACTGGAATGGTGTCAACTTACGGAACAGCTTGGAAGCAAGTCCGAAAGGCCAATAAGTAAAGACTCCGTATCAGCACAGTCCTTAAAATCCCAGTGCTCGACATTAGGATTTTCCAGCAATCTGACAGCAAGCAAATTAAGAACAAGGAAAGAAATATATACATTCTTGTTACTTGAGCACGGTTTTATCTGGTTGCATGTGCGAAACCTGGGCCTTTTCTACATATGAGGTCTGAAATAAAACCATTTCTTTTAGCATACCACCACTTTGCTAACTTAACTTACTTGCATCAGACGTCTAGAAAACAGCGAGAGCCATGAAGCAGCAACCTCGGTGGTTTCTGCTTGCAGGCATAGCTTTCCCTGTGAAAAGGGCTCAATACAGACAAAAAATTTAAACAATGGTACCTCCGGTATCTGAACAAAGATGAGAAACCCAAGAAAGCTTGATGGATCATCACCAACAAAAGCATCCCCGTCTGGAGCAAATTTCCTTGCATCGTGAACTTTCTTACCCAGGTCGTCCCAGTGAGGCTTCCGAATGACCGTGTTCCTACTGGATAGCTTACAAAAGAAAAACAAAGTAGTTTAGAAGAAAGTTAAACGGGAAGGCACACATCAAAGATTCGCCTTGGTTCTTTGCTCTGGATATCCATCTCTGGCGATGTCAAGCTCTCCTTCACCCTGTAGTAGCTCAAAAGAAATCCTTTCAAGTAGAACCTGCATCAAGGTACATAATAAAAATATCCCAACGAGAAATAAAGTTATAAACTTCTTCAAACCATCTTCGAGTCCACCGACTTTTCAGGGACTTATCATTAGACGTGAGAGGGGTCTTCCACAGCCAACCCTGTAAAGTGAAAACATTATGCTAGATACCAGTCTGCATGGCGAGAACAACATTACTTGTTTTGTGGAATTCGAAGATATCTCGCTCGGCATTTCGAGCAACTCTCTTTGGACTCGGCTACCTCGTCCAGGGCCACCACTGTTAGTAGAGCCTGACTTGCCAGTGGAGCAGCTACTGAAGATGCTCTCACTACGGATTTGTAGTGATGAAAATCTTCTGTCTGGCAGGTGTTTGGCATCCTTAGTATGCTCTGGTACACATTTTTGTATCTGCAAAGACTTTACGCTTCAAGTGGCAGAGTACTAAATCCATAAACCTGAGAAACCAGCTGCAAAAACTCCTGCTGCGCAGCCACGATGTTACTCGAGAGCTTCTCAGCCTGCGGGAGCTTATGTGAATGAAAAGGAAAAACGAAAGGAAGAAAGAAAGAAACAATCACACACCTCATGCTGGACATTGACTATCTCTCTTCTAACCACGTCTAGCGCCGTATGCAATCCTTCGATCTGGTGTAGCACAAAGAAGACGAACACCACTCTTGAAAGGCTTATAAAAGGAAAATGTCACCTCGTTTTGACGATGTTCTTTCTTTCCTCGCTCGTTTTGCTGAGGAATCTCGAGGACTTGCAAAGCATTGGCCCTCCTTTTGAAGGTATCGCTCGGAAATCTCCTGCTGCATGATCCATTCGGCTCCTCAAGCGGCAAGACCCCAGAATCCATGCGAGGTAGCAGCGTTAAACCCGAAAGAAAGAGATCCAGAAACAATACAATCCAGCAGGCAGTCGAACCTAAGAATGCGCCGGTCGCTCGGCGCTCCAGCTTCCATTATGGAGCGATCGATCGCAGAACGCTCCCTCTCTCCCCCAAAATGCGCACAAGAATGAAATTTAGCTAGGGTTTATCAAAACAATGGGAATTCCACTCTCGAGTGGCAAGAGCTGCGAGGGAGCACAGGACAGGGCGTGATCTCTAGATTCTCTTTGCTCACGCACAGATAGATCTGGTAGAGCTGGGAGCTCCCGGAATCGTCGTCGTCGGCATTGCAGGTGATTCCAGGGGCATATCCTCCGTCCTGGAGCGCGTTCTTGATCAGGGAAAGGGCATAGGATTTTCCGTCGGGCGAGATTCCTGCTTGCTCCAGCGCTCCCAGAAGATCCACGCTCTTCCTCAGGCGCAGCGCAGCGGCGAAGTAATCGCGCTGGCTGCGCAGGATCTTCTCCGAGCACGTCCCGTGCTTCTCCCACTCGTGCGCCCAGAATTTCTCGCTGTTGCTACTCGGGCAGGATAGCGAGCTCCACAGCGCGTCCATGTCGCCGCGAAGACCTCCAATCTGGAATCAGGTTTAAGATCTTCGTTCGTCTTCCATCGGATCGATTGGGACACTTACTTGAGAGGCATTGAATGGTCTCGAGGGATCGCAGTTCTCGGGGTAGCTTCCATCGAGATTGTTTGGCCAGAGCCCATGGATCGAGAAATCGGAGGCTGGCTTCCCGGATTGTGGGTAGCAGCAGCTGGTCGCGGCATCACAGTATGATCCAGGCCACTATATCCAAACAGATCAATGCTGCGAAGAGAAACAATCTGGAATCCATCTCTAACCTCCAAGACGAGGTAAAAGAAATCGAATGCCGACAATGTGCCCAACATAGTGAAGAATCCAACCAAGAGCGCGGCCGGGAGCTTCGACATTTTCCTCTGTTAGTGATCCCCACCGCATCGATCACAGTTCCCAGGTTTATGCGCGGTGAGCGTTTTGTCGAGATTCGCTCGCTGCGTCGTCATGCGGCTGAGCGATGGGATCCGGCCGCAGCTGTTTCTGGTAACCGACCAAAACAAAAGAGCGCGCAATCAATTCGTTTGAATCGAAGAGCCCTAAAATATCAGGAGCCCTAATTCCAAGAACCCTAAAAACAGAGAATCTTCCCCTCTTTCCAAAACAGAGGAGAAATGCTACTGCTACCGCTGGTCTTCCTCGCGCCCATCTGGGTCGCTGCCGAGTCCATCGATTTCCAGTTCTACATCCACGAAGCCCACCGCGATCCACGTCGCGGGCCCCCCATTCTTCGATCCCAGGTGTACAATGGCACAATTGGCGGCGTGGCCGTGTTTGACGATCTCGTCACGGCCGATGGGGGCTCCGCCGCCACTCTCGGCCGGGCCCAGGGCGTCTATATCAACGCCGCCCACGCCATGGATACATCATTCTGGAGCTTCGTCGTAGCTTTCCCACGTCGGGACAACACAGAGGAAGCAGCCTTAGCTAGACAGGTCCGTTCGTGCTTATCTTTTCTTCCTTGGATTGGAACCCTCGATGAAATTCCTGGGATGACCACTGTAGGTACTATATTCCTGGGCGAGAGCTATCAGTCGTGGGAGGGACTGGACAGTTCCGAGCCGCCAATGGCTACTGCAACATGTATACAATCTCCGTCGCTAATGGGACATCGCTCTTCTTCCTCACTGGGACTCTAAAAACTCCAACTAATCTTCGCGATTGACTCCTGTACAACGTGGAATGATTGGAAACGATCTCTACAGTTTTTTTTCGAATGCTCTTCTTCCTCACTTGGACTCTAAAAACTTCCACCCAATCTTCGCGATTGGCTCCTGTAACTACATCGATCACGACGTGGAATGATAGTTGACGATGGCACTTCCTTCTGGAAAAGGTCTCTACATTTTTTGACTCTTCGTCAATTTCTTGTTCCTTGTTTCTAGGGCAGATGAGTGGGAAAACTTAAAACTTTGGACCCTGGCGCGTCGAACTTTGGAGCACGTAAGCGTCTGGACACAAAGTCGCCGGATGAGCGCCAGGATCTGAGATGTCTGGCGGGATCAGCCGGCGGCCATATGCATCGGGAGAGCCTGGGATTCTCAAAGCTCCCTCCTGCACGTAGGGATGCTTGCATGGGAAGCCCCGCCACCTTCTCCTTGGCCTCCACGAGGAGATTGTAGAGCTTAGGTTTTGGGCGGGAGCTGTGTGGAAGCGTCGAGTTACCAGGTGAGGATCCACGGCATGCAGCTCTGGCAAGCTTCCAGGCGTGGTGGCGACACCCCATTGTTGGCGTCTCCACTCGGACGGAGAAATCGTGGGAGTTCCACATTTGGGTCTGGAAGCGCCGACACGTCGTGGCCGATCTCGTTTATGCCGATCGGACGATCGACTGCACCGAACGCTTCCAGATACCACATTCTGGAGCTTCATCGTAACTTCCATGTAGGGACAACAAAGTCTAGATAGGGTATTTTATTACCGGTCGTGAGAGTAATGGCTGGAGATTTTTATATTCGTTGCAGCGCGATTGACTATGTATTGATTGACAGCGTTTTGTATGTGGCATCCTCGAGGCGCGCCGACACTCTCACGTTAATCGGGTGCTCCATGAAGTTGACCACCGCCATAGCCTCGGTCATCTGGTGCTTCTCGATGTCGCCCGCGTAGCTCCAGTCGAATCCGTGGAGCAAGTTGGAGAGAACGAGCTGGACGTTGCGGAGGCCGAGTGGAAGGCCCGGGCATCCCCGCTTGCCGGATCCAAACGGGAGGAGCTCGAAGTCGTGGCCGTGCACGTTGAAGCTCGTGCCCATGAATCTGTCGGGGTTGAACTCGAGGGGATTGCTCCACACGCTCGGGTCGCGGCCGATGGCGAAGACATTGACGAAGATCATCGAGTTCTTGGCGATGTCGTAGCCCGCGACTTTCTGGTTTTGAGCGGTGGTGTGAGGGACCATCATGGTGAGCGGGGGATGGAGCCGAAACACCTCCTTGGTCACGGCGTTAAAGTACTCGAGCTTGGGCAAGTCCGACTCCTCGATCATGCGCTCTCGTCCCACAACTCTCTCGAGCTCTTCCTGTGCCTTGGCGATGACTTTGGGATAGTGGAGGAGCTCCGCCATAGCCCACTCCACGACTGTGGATGACGTTTCAGATCCTCCCAGAAACATGTCCTGCGTGAAGAAGAGATCGTCAAAAAAAGTGTACGATGAAGACTCTGTTTGAAGGAAATCCAAGGCTTACCACAAGGAGTGCCTTGGTGTATTTCATCTGGTCGGGGCCATCGAAGTATGACTTCGTGAGGGCCACGAAATCGGGGACCTCGCCGGGGCGCTGCTCGTCGAGAACTTTGGTGAGGAAGCTATCGAGCTTGTCGCTGGCGGCCTTGGCGGCAGGGACGGTCCAGTCGAGCCACTTCGTCCCGGGGAAGAAATCGGTGATGGCGAAGGCGCCGCCCACGGTGAGCACGCTGTCGATGATGTTGACGAATTCCTTGGCCTCCTGCAGCGCGCTCTCGTCGGTGGAGGCGCCGGGGCCGAAGTAGACCTTCTTCATCAGGATCCGGGTCATGAGGTTGAAGCTCAGGCCTCGGAGACACCTCCGGAGCTTGACAACCTCGCCGCTCGCCGACGCCGCGCGGAGCTCCCCGCTGAGCTTCCAGAGCTCGTCCCGGATGATGTGCGTGAAGGAGGTGACGCGGCGCGCGGTGAAGAGCTCGGTGGCGCAGAGCTTGCGCGCCTTCTTGAAGTGATCGCCGTACGAGGACCAGGAGATGCTGCGCTGCCCGTAGAAGATGAAGTTCGCGGCGATCTTGTAGGGGCGATCCGCGAATGCGGTGTCGTGGGTCTTGAGGAACTCGCGCGCCATGGCGGGGCTGGAGACCACCACCACCGGGACGAAGCCAAAGCGCAGGGACATGAGCGGGCCAAAGTTGGCGGAGAGCTGCTGGAGCGAGACGTGTGGGAGGCGGCCGATGAGATGGAAGTGGCCGATGATCGGGAGGCCTCGCGGACCCGGCGGGAGATTCTTGAGACCATAGCGGCTCTTGGCGATCGCCCACCACGCGATCACCGCTGCCACCAGGGCGATGGTTAAGGTGGCGCGGATGGTGTTGCTGGCCGGGCCTTCGTCTTGGAGAGCGGCGGTGGCATTGACGAGCGACGCCATTCCGTTCGTTAAGATCGATCGATTTCCAGTGATGCTGCAATGTGCCTCGAGCAAAGCACTGCAAAGATGCCCGTGATCAAGCATTGTTACTCGGGTGTTCTATATAGGCTGCCATTTGGCGCAGTTAACAACCAGTCATTCGGACTGGTCTAGTGAGATATAAGGGTGGAAGTTAAAAGATATTTAATACAACTCCCTGTTCTCAAAACTTTAAAGTAAACACACATTTCATCCCTTAAGCTTGTAAAAAAAGGAAATATTTTAGGTTTTCACTTGTCCACGTGAAATCTTTAGGGTTTATGGATATGGGTTAGGGTTCTTGGTTTGAAGAGGGCAACATGGCGGACGAGGAAATGGCGTCGTCGAGCGATAGCGAGAGCGAGAGGGAGAACGGGGAGGACGAGCTCGCGGCTGTGGAGGTGGCGCTCGCCGCGAATCCGGACAGCTACGAGGCGCACGAGCAGGTTTTGCTCTCTTTCTGTCTCTCTCTCTTGTTCTCGATTTTGGATTTTGGCAGTGAAGTGTTTTATGTTTCTGCGCAGTATGTCGCTGCTCTTCGCAAGGCTGGGCATCTCGACCGGCTCAGGGCCGCGAGGGAGGCCATGAACGCCCTGTTCCCGATACCCGGGAGAATGTGGCGGGAATGGGCCAGGGACGAAGCAAATCTCTTGGACGGGTAAGTTTTAGATATCTTCTTCTTCTAGTTTTAGCTGCGACGATCGCGCTGGCGCAGGAGCGACATATCGCCGGTGGTGGAGTTGTATGAGCGCGGGCTCAGGGAGTACTTGGTGCGTGGTACGTGAGCTTTATTCTCGTCTCGGATTGCTAATCGCGTGCTTTGTGTGGTTTGTTTTTCCGATTTTCTTCCTTTCCCAGGACGTGCCACTCTGGCTGGATTACTTGGAGTTTGTAGAGGACAGGGACCCAGGAGTTTCACAGTGCACACCTCAGGGGCTTCAGAAAATGCGAGAGCTTTACGAGAGAGCCATCACTGCTTCTGGGATTCACGCGACGGAGGGTTCGGCGATTTGGGAGGCTTATCGCGAGTTTGAACAAGCTGTTTTGCTGACTATGGCCGAATATACCGATGGTGACAAGGTAAAGTCTGTCTCTTTTGAAGGCTGTAGCTTAGAAGATCAAGTCACGCAGGAAAAGGAAAAACAAGCTGGACGCGTGGAGAGCCTGTTTCACAGGCAGTTAGCAGTACCGCTTAGTAATCACGCCTCTACGCTGAATGACTACATAGAGTGGGAACGGGAGCAAGGGAAAACTATTGGAAGTCTCGAAGACAAGTTTGCTGGCGTTGATGCCAACGTGTTGGCAGCGTATAAAAAGGCAGAATCAGGATGGCTAGAGTGCAAAGTCTTCGAAAACAGTCTAAGTGGAAAACCTGCAGATGCAGAGCTTCTTCAGAACTATTTGGTACGTTTTTCATTCTCGAGGTTTTGCTGATTGCAATTGGCTTTAGCTGATCATCCTGATTCCAGATCTATATTGACTTCGAGCAGAAAAAAAGTAAAAGCGACCCAGCTAGAGTCCAGGTTCTTTTTGAACGTGCAGTTACAGCTTTCCCAGTGAGCGGTGATTTGTGGCTGAAATACACCGGTTACCTGGATCAGAAGCTAAAGGTAGTTCGCGCGATTATTATGCTATGGAAACACTAACAAAGATTATTTCAGGTTGCAGTGGTCTGCAAAAATGTCTACGCAAGGGCAGTGCGCAATTGCCCGTGGGTTGGTGAGCTATGGAGAAAATATTTGTTGACATTAGAGCGTTTTAATAGCTCGGATGAAGAAATGTCTGAGGTACGGCGTTGCATTTATTTATATATCTGATTGGTTTTTCCAGGTATTTGAGCAGTCAATGAAGAGGGGTTTCCAAACGCCCAGTGAGGTACCTAAAGGCAGCTGTTGTTGCTGGCAGTTGCTAACTAGATATATTGCAGTATCTCGACGTCTTCTTAACGCGGGTGGATGGCTTGAGAAGGCAAATGGCCTCTGTTGAGCGTTTACGTGAAGTATTTCAGGTACGTCCTTTTGTTTCTAAAACGTTTTGTATGCGATTCTTTTCTCTTGCAGCGTGCCGCCGATTTACTGGCAAACTACTTTCCGGACTTTGTAGATCGGTCATTGCGACTGCAAGGATACTGGGCACGCATGGAAGTTCGCTTAGCGAAGGATATCAGCGCGGCCCGAAGCATTTGGGAGCGTTTGGTTAAATCCAGGTAAGCCGTTTTCGAGCGCTCGTTAATTCAAAGCGTCACCTTGTGCAGCGGATGGATGACTGAAGTTTGGCAAGGGTACATCAACATGGAGCTTGGACTGGAAAATATAAATGAAGTTCGAGCGCTATATAGGAAATGCTACTCTAGAAAGCTCGAAGGGAATGGCTCAAAGGTATGGCTTCTAATTCTTGATTGTGATCGTTCATGTCGTTTTCAGGTAATCTGCGAGGCATGGCTGCAATTTGAACGCGAGTTTGGAACATTGGAAGACTTTGAGAAAGCTTCCTTAAAGGTAGAGCTTTTGCACTGAAAGTGACTAATTTTTTACTTGACGTACCTGTGTACAGGCTGGACAAAGGCTAGAAGAAATACAGTCAATAGAGGCTGTTCAAGATACGAAGGAGTTTAAAGAGCCAAAGATGAAGCATGAACGGGGCAATCAGGAAAGCTCGGCGCAAGCAGCGAAACGTAAAAGGCCTAAAGATGTCAAAGAGGAGAAAAAACGACAGAAGGTTGCTCCTAAACGTGAACTTGGCAAGCTGCATTCTGAAGCCAAGATGGCTACGAATGAAGGAGACAGGGATGCATCTGAGCGTGAGAAACCAAACGAACAAGGCCAGCCCCCTGATGGAAGAGGAGAAGCCGCTACACAATTCAAGAAGAACCGTGTCTTCACAGATGAGCTGACTGCATTTGTTTCAAACATCGACCTGGAGGTATGGTGCTGCTTTTATCATCGTGTGTGTTCTTACCAGGGATGTTCTCCAGCTGACGGAAAAGGAGCTAAAAGAGTTTTTCACTCCCTGCGGTGGGCTCAAGGGTGTGAGACTGTTGAGGGACCGGAACACAAGGCGTTCTCGAGTAAAGACTAAAAGCTGCGAAACCGAATTTACGTTTCTGACGAAGTTGCTTCCTATGCAGGGGCTCGCGTACATAGATTTCGAAAACGAGGAGAATCTCGCAGCCGCTATCAGCAAAAACAGGACCAAGCTAGGTGCCCGCAAAGTCAGTGTAGCGCGTTCCAAGCCAAAGCCAAAGCAAGAAGGTAACTTGTCTTTGTTTTGTGTGCCTGTTCGTGAATGTGTTACTTAGATGTTTCAGGTGGTAGTGAAAAGGTAGAGCGGGATAAGATTAAACCTCTGGGGTGGCAAGGCTCGGCCCTCAAAAGTGACGAGGCCCTCAATTCCAACGAGGAATTCCGGAAGACGCTTCTCAAGTCCAAGGAAAAAGTTGTAACTTGATTTAGTGTGCTCTCAAACTGATTGTAAAACTTGGAACTAGTGCCAGCTAATGTGACAATGGAGGAAAAGAGAGTTGTTCGAACAACTTGGACCTCGCTTTGACATGTCAAAACTCTCGTCCATTTCCAACAGCTAGTCAAGTCTCATTAGAAATCCCACTGTCGAAGGACATACCACTAAGAGATTATAACTCTCGTTTGAACTAGTCTCCACTCTCGCCTCAAGAATCTCAAACAAAAGACTCTTGCTTTTCTAAACCGGATAAAAAAGGATAACAGCTTATAACTTCATTTACCTAAGATTAAGTCAGTGGAACAATCGCACAAAGAAAACTTCTCGATCGTGGAAGAGTAGATGGCCCTTTAATTATGGCATTGATTATGCAGAAATTTCGTCCACCTCTTACAGAAGATCCGTTAACATCAGCCAATGCAAAGTGCAATGAGTATCATCTTAGCCTCAGCGCGAAGGAAATTCCCTAAGATCCGGCCTGAAAGCCATGCAAAAAATCTGCCTCCAAAGCCCCTAATTTAGTCAACTTGTTTAGAAAGAATCTTAAGATTATAGACAATCCATCTTAAGATTAAAGATTTATGGGTGCCTCCGTGAGGAAGCGTTCCAAAAATTTGGATATGCCGCTATTATGTGGCCAACACACGGTATTCTTTAGTAAAAGGCGAAAGAATAGTTCGTTTTGCGCTGACCACACGGCTTACGTGGATATGAAAGTAGTCTTCGTCCATGTTATATACCCACTGCCTCGCATGAAAATAAACCGCGGCATGTGGGATAACTTGACGAGCCCTAGTCCCAGCCCTAGGACGATTTAGGGCTATTGGTATATTCTATTATAGCAACTGGGAGTTCGATTCCCGTTGCGAGCGAGAGGGCCCCTTAGTAATGTTTAAGCGATTCAAACCCGGGCGATGACAACGTGGTTGTTTTCGAAAGACGAGCTAGAACGCAAATCGCCGTCATTGCAAGATGGGATGGATGCGCGCACGGAGGCGTCCTACCGGGGCTACTACTCCACCTTCGCGCAGGAGCTGGGAAAGAAGCTCCAAGTGTAAGGATTTTGCTCCCCTTCCCCTTGTTTTCGTTTTTGCCCTAGGCTATGAGCGAGCTGGGAAAATCTCTCCAGGTCGCAGATGACCGTCGCCACCGCAATCACATTTTGCCATCGCTTCTACACGCGCCAGTCGCTGCTGAGGAACAATTGCCTGGTGAGTCTCTCGAGGTTTAGGGTTTTTGGATTTGGAGCTCTGTGTCACACAAGTTCTTCTTAGATTGTGGCAACCTCGTGCATGCTTCTGGCCACCAAGGTGGAGGAGACACACCGCTATCTCAAAGAGGTAGTGTTTATTTCCTATGAGTTGCGTAACCGGGACGACCCCAAAGCTCTGGAAAGAATCATGGAAGACAGGGTATAGTACCTCTTTCTCGCATCTTTTCTTTTTTCTAGGACTGCTTCGATTCTATGAAGTTTTTTTCTTCTTCCTGTTCTAAAACCTGGCTTTTTTTTTCTTCCGGTGTAGGATTTGTATGTCTCCGAAAAGCAGCTTGTGCTGTATGGAGAGCGGCTGGTTCTCACAACGATAGAGTTTGATTTAAGTGTGGTAAATCCTCACAAGCCACTGGTGGCTACGCTGAAGAGACTACGCATTCTCAAGCAGGACCTCGTACAGC